TGGTGACTGTAAAGTTAGATTCTACAAATTTTCTGATTTGGAAGAATCAAGTTCAAACTATCTTACGAGCAACTGATCTTCTTGAATTCGTTCTTGGATTGATCTCTTGTCCAATCTCTAAAATCCTTGATTCATCTGGAAAAGCTACAGTCAATTCAGAATTTCTTCAATGGAAGATGATGGATGCACATCTACTTAGTTTCCTTACTGCTACACTGTCATCTCCTGTATATGCTTCAGTGCTTCAATATCAACATTGCTTTGAAGTTTGGCTTGCTTTGGTAAAGCGATACACTTCTCTATCTCGTTCACATATTCATCAATTGAAGAATAAGTTGCAGTCTGTTACAAAAAAAGGTCTCACCCTGAGTGAATATCTGACTCAAATCAAAGAGATCTCAAATCAGCTTCGACTTGCTTCATTAATGACTGATGATGAAGATCTTGTGCTTTTAACTCTGAATGGCTTACCAGAGGAGTATGATGCTCTCAAAACAACTATCCATGCTCGAGTGGAATCCATTTCAATGGATGATGTGTGTTCACTCTTAAGTTCTGAAGAAATTCATATTGAGAATAAAGCTAAAAGTGTTGTTCATGACTCTCCAGTTGCATATGCTGCAACCAAAGGTTCTGAAAATTTTCAGTCTTATCCGCAAGCTTCAAGATCACATTTCACAACTTCTCAAGGTTACAGAGGTCGTGGTCAATCTCGTGGTTATAGAGGAGGACGAAACAGAGGTGGAAGGTTTATTAATAAGCCTAACAGAGGCAGATATGGAGGAAATAGCTATCATTCAAACAGTAATGGTTGTCAAATCTGTGGAGGCTATAACCATAGTGCTTTTGAGTGTTGGTGGCGAATGGATCCTAATTTTCAACCTCTGCATTCAAATCCTTCCTCACATTCCTCTCCTAATGCTGTGTCTCAACCAAGAGCTTATTCAGTCACAAGTGCACAATCCTCCTCTGGATCTGCTTCACCTACTCCTTGGTACATTGATTCCGCAGCCACAAATCACATTACCAATGATCTTACCAATCTTCAACTCTATCAACCATATCAAGGTCAAGATCAAGTCACTGTAGGTAATGGACAAATTGTTCCTATACAGCACATTGGTAAGGGTTTGTTACCAACTCCTCACTATTCCTTTAAACTTAATCATCTTCTTCATACTCCACATACTGCTTCAAATCTGCTTTCTGTTCATCAATTAGCCAAAGATAACAATTGTTCAGTTACTTTTGATGCTAATTCATTTTTTATTCAGGACAACCATACGAGCCAAATACTGCATAAGGGATCTAATGTGAATGGTTTGTATCATTTTGATGTCTCCACACCTACATCTTCACCTCAAGCTCATCTCACTCAATCACAAGTTTCATTACCTGTTTGGCATCAACGGCTTGGTCATCCATCTGCTTTAAAATTTCATCATGTTGCCAAGCATCTTCCTACTGTTTTTAGAAATAAAGAGTACCAGAACTTTGTTTGTACTCCATGTAGTGTTGCTAAGATCCACAGATTGCCTTTCAAATTGTCAAGAACTACTGTTAAACAACCTTTTTCCCTTGTTCACAATGATGTGTGGGGACCTTTTAATCCTCCTACTTCTGGTTATAAATACTACTTGTTGTTTGTTGATGATTTTACAAAATTTACATGAATCTATCCTCTTCATGTTAAGAGTGCAGTGTTTTCTACTTTCTTAAATTTCAAATCTTATGCTGAAACTCAGTTTTCAACTTCATTACAAGTTTTACAAACAGATAACGGGACTGAATTTGCTAACAATCAAATGCATGATTATCTTATTGCTAATGGTATTCTTCATCATCTTACTTGTCCATATACTCCTGAGCAAAATGGAGTGGCTGAGAGGAAACATCAACACATCACTGAGATTGCCATTGCCTTGTTGCATCAATCCTCAGTTCCTCTTCAATTTTGGTTTGAGGCTATGGCTACTGCAGTCTCTCATTAATAGATTGCCTAGTTTGTCTCTTGGTCATAAGTCTCCTTTTGAGTTGCTTTTTAACACCTTACCTGACTACGCTTTCCTTAAAGTCTTCGGTTGTCAGTGTTTTCCATGGCTTAGACCTTATGCAGCTCACAAATTGGCTCCCAGATCTGTCCCATGTGTGTTCATAGGTTATCACTCTACTGTCAAAGGCTATAGGTGTTTGGACCCTTCTTCAGGAAAGATTTTCCTCTCTAGACATGTTAACTTCAATGAAACTTGTTTTCCCTATGCTGCTGATTCATCCCCCTCTACTAGTTTGTCCACCATTCACTCTTTCTTTCAGCTCCCTTCTACTTCGGCTGATCCTCCTCTTCCTAGCTCTTCTCCTATTCCTTCTTTTCCTTTTTCTGTTTCCTTTCCATCAGTGCCAGTTCCCTCTAAATCTGTGCCTTCAACTGAATCGCCTACTGGCATTTCTGGTTCCTCATCACTACCTACCTCTGTTTGTCTATCTCCCTCTGCTGTACCTGCAGTTTCTATTACTCCTCCTATTGTTCCTCCTATTCCTAGTTCTTCTATTCCTATTCAATCAATTGCTATTCATCTTCCTAAGCTCTCTTCTGTGCCTCCCCTTAACACACATCCTATGATCACTCGATCCAAAGCATATCTTACTACTTCCTCTCCTCTTGATCTCTCTACTACTGAGCCTGCTTCTGTTGCTCCGGCTCTCTCTTCTCCTCTATGGACTGCAGCCATGAACGCTGAATTTCAGGCTCTTCATCAGCAGGGCACCTGGACTTTAGTCTCCTTACCACCTCATAAAACTGCTATTGGTTGCAAGTGGGTTTTTCGGATTAAGAAGAATTCTGATGGTACAATTGCTCGATATAAGGCTAGATTGGTGGCCAAAGGGTTTCTTCAACAAGAGGGAGTGGACTATCAAGAAACCTTTAGTCCAGTTGCTAAGCAGCCAACTATTCGGATCTTGTTATGTCTTGTGCTCCAACAGAATTGGGTTCTCAAGCAATTGGATATTTCTAATGCCTTTCTCCATGGGCACTTAGAAGAAGAAGTCTACATGGTTCAGCCTCCCGGGTTTATTAATGCTGATTCTCCTACTTATGTTTGCAAACTTCACAAAGCCTTGTATGGCGTCAAACAAACTCCTCGAGCTTGGTATTCCACATTTTCTACTTTCTTACTTACTCAAGGTTTTCATCAGAGTCATTCTGACTCCTCTTTGTTCATTAGACAAACCTCTGCCCATCTTACCATATTACTCATTTATGTGGATGATATTTTGGTTACTGGTAGTGACTCTTCTGCCATTGAGTCCTTGATCACTCACACGCATGTTGCCTTTTCTATGAAAGAATTAGGCTCTATCTCCTATTCTCTTGGCATTTCAGTTCACTCCACCTCCCAGGGTTATTTTCTTTCCCAGCAAAAGTATGCTACTGAATTGCTTCATAAGGTTGGTATGGTGGACTGTAAACCATGCTCTACACCTATGGCTATTAAGCCTTCTCTTTCGGCTTCGGATAACTTACCCTTTTCTCAACCTGCTTTCTACAGAAGTTTAGTTGGTGGCCTTCAGTATTTGACTATCACAAAGCCAGATCTTGCTTTGGCTGTTAACCATGCTAGCCAGGATATGCAAGCACCCACAGTTGCTCATTTTGCTTTGGTTAAAAAACTGCTTCGTTATGTCAAAGGGACACTCTCTCATGGTCTTCAATTTAGCCCAGGTCCCTTTCATCTTCATGCCTTTACTGATGCCAATTGGGCAGGTGATTCTTCTGATCGCCGATCCACTTCTGGGTTCTGTGTGTTTTGGGGTCTAATCTCATCTCATGGTCTGCTAAAAAGCAGCCTATAGTCTCTCACTCCTCAACAGAGGCAGAGTACAGGTCTATGGCTTCCACCACTGCTGAACTTGTGTGGTTGCAGCAATTGCTTAAAGATCTGTGTTCCTTCTCCTTCTCCTGTCTTATGGTGTGACAACATCTCTGCCATGGCCTTGGCTTCAAATTCAGTCTTTCATTCTCGCTTGAAGCATATCGAAGTCGACTGCCATTTTATTCGCGAGCGTGTTGTTTCCAAACAAATTCAGCTTGCTTACATTCCCACTACTGATCAGCTTACAGATATCTTTACTAAGCCTTTAACTTCCTCTCGCTTTCACTATCTCAAAAACAAACTTATGGTGCTTCCAAGCCCCATCTATTTGCAGGGGAAGGATAAGAGTATCAGTTCAACCAATTCAAATGATAACCTGCAGTCTCAAGATGAAGAACAGCTGCCAAGGTCACACCTGTAGCAATAGATGCAGCCCTCTCAACACTCTCAACATAAGTGTATACCAGTGCATGACATAAGGAATACGTTTGAGAGAAAGGTTCATGCAAAGGTTCATGCACTGAGAGAACTGTAGGAGTGGGATAGATTCAGTTAGTTAGTTAGTTTGTCAAGAGTTTGTTATAACAAACTCTTAACGTCTTGTATAAATACTTGTAATCAAGATATTTTGGAATAAGGAAAACAAACTATTCAGTTTATTTTCAATTAAGAATATGTGGACATGTCTTAAAACCCTGCATCACACGCAAGGTACTCTAAAGTCTGTGTTTGAATGCAATGAAAAGTTGGTATAGACAACAAACTTCCTTATATATGTATATGACAAGGCAGATCTATGATTAGCACAACAAAGCTAAAAGTGCATCAAAATCGTTCTTTGCCACTAATATCATAGCATATGATTCTGCACACGCACGTGGGCACAAAACAAAAAAGGGGCCAAAAGAAGCCTATCCAAAAACTCCACTATTGAGTATAATCATGCATCTTTGAAGTCATTTATTTTGACCAAGAAAAGTAATAGATAAACACCTCATAAAATTTATCAAATCCTCATTTTAACAAACATTTGACGAAAATTATACTAAAAATTGAGTTCTTCATAACTCAGCAATTTTAAATCACTCATAACAAAAGATATATCTCGAAAAAGGAAGGAAAATTTACCTTACATAACCAAAAGTACACGAAGAAGTAACAACCAACTATTCCAAGCCGGCAACTTTGCATCTCAACTTCATATTGTGATTTTCCTACCAAGTTTTAGAATTTTGTTATGATTAGTTCTACGCCGAAAATACAACATTCAAAAACATTACAAATGCTACTCTAAAATGCATAAACAACAATTCAATTAACTAATTCACACAAAATGTGATTACAATAAACAGTACATTCTCACCTGTTCCAAAACCCTAGCTGAACTCTTCTCCACAAGCCTAGCCAATCCATCAACCTTGGCAAGCATTTTCTTATACAAATCCTCCAACTCTCCCGTGTAATTCGAAGCTTCCGGACCCATCAACCGACTCAACCGCCCAACATCAAATTCCTCAGCACACAAATCCAATTCCTTCTGATCCTTAGAAACCCTCTTCACACTCTTCAAGCTCTCACTCTCAACCCTTCCATCCTCCACCACCATGGAACTCACTCCCCTCAATTCACAAGGCAGCATCGGAAACGGAGAATTAGGGGAAAACGCACCATAATGGCCGCGAAACGCAGGGCCAATATTGACGACATCTAGGGTTTTAGGGTCGAAAGAATCGTTGGAAAATCGGAATTGATAGGCTTTGTATTCATGGGTATGGATCAATTGGTCTGGAAAAGGGGTGGTGAGGAGGAGGAAGATGCAGGGAGGGAGGGTGTAGGATTTGGGGGAGTTTTGGACTTGGAAAGAGAATTGGATCTTGGAGGAGAGAGAAGACGTGACGGAGGACTCGCGGAGGGAGGGGCGGAGGGGGGTTTTGCGGCGGCCGGAGAACCATCCGAGGAGGGAGAGGTTGTGGTGGTGGAGAGAGGAAAGGAGGCGGAGGAGGGCGGGGAGGTGGAGGTGGCCGGAGGGGGAGTAGAAGGAGGAGGTGGAGGAGGAGCAGAAGAAGGAGGTGATGGTGGCGATGAGGGTGGGGGAGTCGGAGGAGGAAGTGGCGGCGGCAGTGGAGGTGAGGGTGGTGGGGTCGTCGGAGAAGGTGGAGGGGGTGATGTGGGTGACGCGGCCGAAGAGGAGGCCGTCGAGGTCGGTGGGAGAGAAGGAGAAGCGTTGGAGGAGGGAGGCTAAGGTGGGTCCTGAGATTTGTATCTTCTCCAATGGAAGGTCGTCCATGGCTGCCAGACTCTGCTCTGTAGAGAAGATAGCGAGAGAGTGAAAAAATGGCGAGGCCGAGAGTTTCCAAATAACCTCGTACTGCGGGGTTGAGCTCCCTCTCCATATTTTATAAGGGAACATTGCATTTCAAGTGGAGGAGTGACCAAAAAACAAATAATATAAAATTACATTTTCATAATTAGTGTTATATGTATTAATGTATGTATTTTTGGGTTCATTCGAGAAAAATATTTGTAGTAGGAAATAAAAAATTAGTTGGAATTGAATCTACTCCTATGATACCATCACACTTTGCACGCAACTTTGATGGATGGGTAATAGTACTAAGGGCATATGCTGTGCAATAATGCTTGAGACCATTACAAGTGATGCTCTAAAAGTACCACTAGTGATGTGGCAGTGGACGGGACTCACTGCTTGTGTCTTGTTTTTTTTTTTATTTATTTGAAGTGTTTGCCAACTCATTAGTGGTGCTTTAGAGCACCACTTTAAGTGGGATGTATCATTACCGTATGTTGTGGGTGTATGTATGGTTCGTTTGAAGAAACTGATGTTGTTTTGGCTGATAAACATGCCGCCTTGTAGACTAAGTATGAAGTTAAGTCCTAAGATGAAAGGATGGTTTTGTTGAATATTTCCAATCCAAACTTGAGGTAAAGGGAACCACTCTATATGTTGAGTTCGAGATCCTATGTGATGAAAACTAATCTGTGCTCCATTGATGCAACGTGTGTACATCTGTTTAGTGCCATCGGTTATACTGACTAAAGCTGGGGTTGTTAAAGCTGTGCTCCATTCTGGTGGAACTATGTGTTGTTCAATATATGATTTACTAGCTCCTATATCTATCATGTTGATCTATACTAAGGGTTTTTTTCTGCAAATTTAATTACACAAGAAATCTCGCCTGAATTTGGCTTGGGTATAATAGGGTAATTAAATGGTAAATATGTATTATCTGATTGTGCTTGGGAGTACTGACTAAAGGGTTGAGTATCAATTAGGTTGACTAATTCTAAAGAGTTCATATGTTCTTCAACCAATTTATCTTTTAAGGGGTATCTATTATGAAATTGTTCTAACTGCTGTTTAAGCTGTTTATTTTTTGCTTCTAAACATTCTATGTCAAAATTAGCCTTAGTTTCTACCTCTCGTATTTGTAACTTAAGTTCTCTTACTTGTATTTCTATTTCTCTAATTTTTAGATGTAATTCTCTGCTTTCTATACTATGATCTTCTAGCATCTCGTTGTTATTTCCTAATGTTATCTTGTGTGTCATGTTTAATTTTTCTAGACAGACTAGACAATAGGTTATACTGCATAATAAACATTGAGCTCTCTTATTTTTAACGGGAAACCAATTACAATAACTGCATCTAGTGGTATTAAATCCTAATCTTATTTGAAAATTATGCTGACATTCAGTAGCTACATTGCATTCCATCGTAAAGAAAGTGTCGTAAGAAGGAGACATTCCTATTTCTTGGTTAAGTTGTCCTAGAAGATTGTTTATGTCTGTATCACTTTCTGAATCACTATCTGAACTTATGGCTTCTATTTGATATTCATAATCACTGACTATGCTGTAGACTTCTGAATCATCATTATTTATGCTAACTATATCTTCTTCTAAATCTTCTATAATATGTAGTCTTCCTATATGTTTATTAGTATTAGGCCTTTGTCTTTTTGGGCAGATTTTTGCAAAATGATTAGGTTCTCCACATATAAAACAATTGTATTTTTTACTAGTAGGTTTTTTAACATATCTCTATTTTTTTTTTTATCTTTCTCTTGTTTGGGTGGTCGCTTATAATTTATCCTATTAAAAGTTTTACTCTTTCTAATAAATTTTTATTTTTCCATGATTTTTCTATAATTTTTCTTCCAATATTTTTCTTTTCTATATTTTTCATATTTTTTATATTTTTTCCTATTATATTTATCTTTATATTGTTGAGGAGTATATATTATGCTGCTACAGAAACCATAGTTTTGTCTTTCAAATCCTTTTGTATTTTAACTTCTATACATTTTTCTCTAAGTTTGTGGAATGTAAAAACTATCCTAGGTCCTATTCCTAAAGCTCCTCTTATTTTTACTTCTCTTGAGGCTATTTTCGCTAGTTAGTGTGCGTAATAAATTGACCATCTATTTTCTATTTCTCTTCCTAATTCTCCTGGTAATTTTCTAAAATATTTGTTTCCTATTTCTTCATCAAAACTTTTCCTGTCCTGGCTGCTATGGCTAAATATTCTTTGCTAAAGGGAACAACATATTTCCAACTTCCTAATGTTATCTGATCTAACTCGGTTAGTGCTATGCTCTTAGTATAATCATTTTTTCTAGAAGGGTCGTATCCTATAAGCATTTCTTTTATAAAACTAGTAAAATTTCATGTATTATCTCCTAGTCCTTTAAGCTGTCTAATTGTCTCTTCATATTTTCCTTTAAAAGTTAAATATATATTAAAAGCCAAATCTTTTAAAAGTGTTTCCATATATTCTCATATGTCAATTGATTTAAAGGGATTATTCATCCATGTCGTTACCGCATCTTTTTCCTATTTTTCTATTACTTCTTGCCATATTTGAGGATCGCATCTAGCTAGGTCTAAAAGGGTTCCTTGGTTATTTGCTGGCTGTAATTGTATACTCATATCTAGTTGTCTACGCTTTCCATGAAATCTTTAACTTTTATTCGGGTCTGCTTTACTACGCCCTGTATTGGATAATGGTCTTCTTTCTCCTATTGCATAATGCATTGGTTCTACTGGATCCTCTACCGTATGTTGTGGGTTACTAGTTCCTGTGCTTTCTGTGGTTTGAGTATTCATATAAAAAGTGTCTTCTAAGTTAGATTATTTTGGTATTTTAAATATTTTGCTAGGATGCATTTTATCTTCTATGATATCGTCTACATATTCAGTATGACATTCTTGGTCTAAAAATGGCACTGCTTCATCATGAGTATCTTCTTTAGCTATGTATTCATAGTATCTAATATTTTATTCATATCGCTTATGGTGAAATTTTTCAAATCTATCTCATCAATATTATATATCTTATTTTGTGATATTGTTTTTTCTTCTGTCATTACATAAAGTTGATTTATGTCACTATGATTATCTTGATTTTCTTCCCTATCTATACTACTAAATTCATCATCTTCAGATTTTTCTGGTGCTACATACATATATTAAGTAAATCTCACAGCATAGCTTCCATCTGTTTTTTGATATAATAAGTTATCTTGAGGGGCTAACCTTTTTTGTCCTAGAAAATCTCCTAAATTCCAATCTAGCGCTACATTATCTTCGGAATTATATTGTTTAGCTGGTAATGCCTTTATTCCTTTTGCGCCTAATATTTTAACTATTTGATCATTTGTAAGTCTATAATGAGTATTGCTTTCTGAGACTGCTAAACCTAAAAATCCTGTGCAAACTAATAAATTTTTTTCTCATTTTTTCATTTTGTATCCTCTACTTTTTATCCCTATTTTTATCTTTTTATGAAAGGTCAAAGTTGGTAATAGGAAATCTGGTGTAAAATAAACTATTCCTCATTTTGAATTCATATCTAATTCATAACTATCTAAATACTTTGTCCTACATCATTAAACTTATCATCATAAAGACATACAAAAACTTTAGTTCCTAAATTTTCTCTAGTTAAAACCTTATCTCCTATCACAATTAATTCGAAGTGAGTCATTTTGAGGTGTTCATTTACGGTATATTTATAACTTTCTCTATTTATTAAATTTAGCTCTATTTTTTCATCTTCATGAGTTACACTAATCATTTGTTCACCATAGTGTTTAAATAGATATTGCTTTTTATGAATCTTACCTAGCTTATATACATATTTAGCAGGGATTAATTTTAGTTTTTCCTTCTTAAATTTTTCTATTTGTTGTTCTACATCTATAAATTCTTCCATTTTAACATCTTCATCCTCATTACGCTTTTTACTGCTACTTCCTTTTACTCGTTGTTTAAACATTTTTATTTTCTGTAAGTTCTACAACAGGTTTCTTTGGTAATTTAAGCTTTTCAAAATATTTAGCTATATCTTCTACATTTATCTAAGATTGCGGTTTGTTTGCTTGTCCTTCTACTCCTTTTCCTTTTTGAAGTATTATTTTTTCTAAAGAAGCTAAACGATTTTCTAAACTATGTAGTTATTCTGATAATTCTTCAAATTTTTCACACAACCAGATAAGAAACAAAATTTCTATATTATTTTGTCTTACTGATATTTTATCTGACTGATTTATTCCCTGATAGCTACTAATTTCTTTTGGATTATTATGAAAGCCTTCTGCTTGTTTTAAAATAATCTGGTAGTCTCTATTAGCTTTTTTATCACTAGTCATAAACTAAGATCTTATTAGTTGTTCTAAAATATCTAATTTTCGTTTTAAATTATCTTAAATTTGGTTGATTTGTTTTATTTGTTTAGTTATTTGATTTATCTGATTATGATTTTTTTTCAATTAGTTGTTTAAATTCTAACTTTATTTGCTTTGAACTGCTAGTATTTATAGCTGAAATTAGAGTTTCTATTTCTAGTTTTGTGGGAAATTTTTCTAAATTCAACTCTATTCGTTTTTGTAGGATTGAACTACACTGATCTTGGATATAATCTGATTTTTTATCTTGATTTTTAATTATACTACGAGTATTACGAAGATGGTCTATAGATGAAGTAAAAAGATTACTAATTTTATCTACATCCTTTTTAATATTTTTCTGCAAAATTAATCAGATGATCTATAATACTATTGAACTGAGAATTATGTTCACTATGAAGCTGATGTGTAAAAGTACCTTCAAAATTACAACGAAAATTATTTTTATCTATATTAAGACGATGGTTATGATTGCTGAGTTCTAAATTTAAATATTCTACTTTTTTCATACACAAAATTAAATCCTACTTTAAAATTATTAAACGCTACTATAATATGGAATTTATAACTAAATTGTCCAAAAATAAAAACTACTCTATTTCTGTAAGCAAAATGCATAAACTAACTTAAACTGTCCTAGAACCGAACACTGCTCTGATACCAATTTTTAAGGGTTGAGT